TGCTTTTAGTTCATTCTTTCCCCCTCAAAGCTTTTGCCTGGAACTGGGGATACTTTTGGTAAAGGTGTGTGTGTGCGCGCGCGCGCATGTGCGTGCGTGTGTGTAAAGCATGGTGATGGTATACACCTTTAATCCCGGGGCTCGCGCTCTTGAGCTCTTGAGTTTGAGACTCCTTAATAGTTATCCAATACAAAGTGGACAGCCCTGAAATCACATACACACAAGCAACACTAAACACACTCATCAGGCTAAATTTGTGTATGTGTGTAGACATTTACATACATATATACATATGAGTGGAAGCCTTGGAAACATGGAAGGGGTTGAAGAGAGGAGACATAGGAGGAGTTAGAAGCAAGGAAGAAAAGGGGGAATACATTTTAATTTTTGTTACATTATGGTGGAGTTTTTTTGTTACTGTTTTTCTCTTTGAGATAACATCTCTCTACATAGTCCTGGCTGACATGAAATTTACTATGTAGACCAGGCTACCCTCTAACACACAGAGATCTTCCTGTCTCTTTGCTGGCTTTAGAGGTGTTTTCCACCATACCTAGGGAAATTCATGTCTCCAAAGGTGACTTACTCAAGGCCACGGCATCAAATTAAAACACTGTCTGCCAGATTCACTTTTAGATTCTGTGTCTTACTCACAGATCCACTTTAAATTAATTTTATTATCTAAATAGCTAAATGAATAAATGGTCACTTTAAGTGGAGTCTTCTCATTCACAAAGGTACTTCCTTTTTTATTTTATTTTGCTTTTTGGTATTTGTTTTTTGATTTGGGTGTTTCAAGACGTGTCTCAATCCTCTTATCTCAGCTTCCTGAGATAAAGTGGGATTCCCAGTGTGGACCAAGAAACCTAGCTAATAAGGTTTTTAATGATAAGGTTTTTATCTTCTTGAGGTCTTGATTTGAAAACAGCCCTGTGTTATATTGTATTCCATATATCTCCTCCCACCCCCATTTCACATGTGGCCTTAGCTGTCCTGGAACTCAGATGCTGACCAGCATGGCCTTGAACTCAAAAGACTGACACCTACTTTTGCCTTTGAAGTGTTGGGATTAGAAGCATGCTTGGCCCCTGTTGTACCTTTTTGTTCATAAAACATAACATTGAGGCCTAACTGATTATATGAGGTGAAATCAATAAAGTAATTATCTGTACTTCTTTCACAATGCAGTAATTTTCTAGAATCATTTTCTACAAGTAGTGATGTTTGCATATTCTTGTTTTTTGAAATAGAACTTCTTTTAAAGATTTATTATGTATGTAATGTTCTACATACCAGAAGAGGGCACCAGATCTCATCATAGATGGTTGTGAGCTGCTATGTGGTTGTTGGGAATTAAACTCACGACCTTTGGAAGAGCAACCAGAGCTCTTAGCCTCTGAGCCATCTTTCTAGCCTGACATAGGACTTCTATACGTAGCTCAGGCTGGTGTAGAGCTCAGTCTTCCTGTTAGGCTAGCTCATCTAGCCTAACATCTGCATCCCAATAGCTTAGTTATTCTTTACATGTCACCACATTTAAAAAGAAATGTACCATAACACCTGTGTGGCTCATGCCTATAATCCCAGAACTTCAGACCTTTGTGCCTTAGCTGCCGAATTCCTTGGATTATAGCTATGTGCCCCCGTGCCCTGGGTCTTTAAAGTACATACTAACTCTCAAGGGCTGACTGATGAGAGTAATTTTACAGAGGGAAGGATGAAAAGCAAACCCACATGGTAACACACACACCTCTTATCCCAAGAGTAGAGAGGCAGAGGCAAGAGAGAGGATAACAGATTTGAGGCCAGTCTGGGCCTCTTGAAAAGACCTTGTCTCAAAATGAAACCAACAAAAAGCAAAACTAAGGACTGGGGAAATGGTTCAGTGGGTAGAGAACTTGCTATGCAAGCACAGTGACCTTAGTTCAGATGCCAGCACCTATGTAAAAAGCCAGAAATGGTTGCTCATGGCTGTAATCTCAGCATTTGGGCTTGGGGGACAGGAGGATCTCTGGGCTTCACCAGCTGCTAACCTAGACTGTTTCAAACAAATAAGGCAGAGAGCAATAGAGGAAGACACCCAATGTCCCCGGTTCTACACTTACATGCAATGGGTGTACACAAACACAGACATGGGGTGGGGGTAGATAGATAAGCAACCCTCTTCAGTTTTATATTTGTTAATTTTATATGTATGTTTTACCTGCCTGCGTGTATGTATTTGTACCACAAGTGTGCATGGCTTGCAGAGGTCAGAAGAGGTGGTTAGATCAAATCTCTTGGAACTGGAGGTACAGATGACTGTAAGCCATCACAGAGTATTGCAGGATCCCAGTCCTTTATGAGAGCATCAAGTGCTCTTACAGCTTGTCCATCTCTCCAGTGCCTAAAGCAGCTTTTTGGGGGGGGGGGGGGAGGAAAGGATTTTATTTGTAGGTCTATACGAATTCAGTGTTTAAGCCAGGCGTCATGATGGATCATACTTGGAATCCCATCCCTAGGGAGACTGGGACAAGAGGATTGCTATGAGTTCTAGACCAATTTTATCTGTATGAGTTCCAGCCTGTCTGAGCTATAGTGTGAGTCCATTTCTCTGGCATGCAATAAAATATTAAATCTTGTTATCTTTCCTAATGTAATTTTTAAAAATATGTGTAGTTAATGTTTTTTACCCAGCTCATATATAGATAAACCTTTTTTAGGATTCTCCATGTTGATAAATGTTACCTTTTATCTAAGAACTTGTCTAAAAACTAAGAAGCAGATCTTGGTAATTTCTGTTTAGTTTAAATTTTTATGACCCAGTGAATTTGATGAGTGTTACTTACAGGGGTGTGGAGGAGAGCTTTATTTTACAGGGACTTGGGCAATTTACCACCAGCTATTAACTGTGTATAAATCCTGTAGGGGTAGTATGGCCTCATGAGTGTTAACAGGTTCACCTTATTCAGGTCTTCTGCAGGTAATCAAAACTGCTGAGAGAAAAGTGCAAGACTGTAACACCAGCAGCTGCATCCTGCCTAAAAGACAGCACTTTCACAGCACTCCATTCCCTCCTTCAGCTCCTCCATTCTTTCCATCCCATCTTCTGTGTTGCTCCTTGAGCTTTGTGGGGTTGGTTATAGATTCCATGTTTAGGACTGAACATCCAGCCATAGACTTATTCCCAGTAGTTTGACCAGTATGAGTTTCTGCAGTACTGGCTACCCATTGAAAACAGAAACTTCTGTGACCAAAAGGTTAGAAGGCAATTTGATAGGCGCATAAAAAACAACAGCAGTAGCTTTCCCACTACAGCCTATGACCTCATCTGCCTTAGGCCTTTGACCAGTTTTACAGTACCAGGATGAATTTCCTTCTGTGTAATGGGCCACAAATCCTGTAACAATTAGCTTCTTTTTCATTGCCTGGCAGGTGTGTAGTGTCACACAGGGAATTTGTAGTGGAATAAGACAGTAACAGTGTTCCCCTATCAGCCAGGAAAGCACCTTTTTGGGACTGAAGAAGCTTCCAATGTAGTTACAGCTTGGTTTCCTACCCCCAACCCTCTGTCCTGCCACCCAAGTGTGTGATGTCTTCAGTAGTAATGTCTGACCTCCCTGTTCTGATGGGCAGGCACCAGCTTTTGTGGCAATAGCTTATATTGTTTTGGGAGCTACAGGCGTCTTCCTAGCCCACATCTCCTTTTGGCTTCTGTGAATAGCTTTATCCACCCACATTGGATACCTTCATTCAAGTTATTTCTCAAATCATTTTGTTTTAAGTTTTTGATTTTTTCAGACAAGGTTTCTCAGTGTAACAACCCTGGCTGCCCTGGAACCTGCTTTATTCTCCTGCCTTTGTCTCTGGACTGCTGGGAGTAAAGCTTTGTACTACCTCCACCCAGCTTGTCTTAAAGTTTTAGTTATGTGTGTGTATGATGTATGTGAGAGACTGTGTGTGTACTGTGAAAAGTTGGTTCTCTCCACCTTCGCAGAGGAATCTAGGGCTCAAACTCAGGTTGTCAGGCTTTGTGGCAAGTGCATTTGTCCGTTGACCCATGTCGTTGGCTGCCATCATTTATTTTTCATGCTAGTGTAGTAATGCTGACTGAGTGTTGTTGGCTAACTCTGCTCTCTAGGAGTGAATAATATGAGGCAGTACTGAGTCTTAGAAAACAGATGATTTTGTTTTCCTGATAATACAGTCTTTTTCATAGAAACATTCTAATATTTTCTTTGTATTCATTTAAAAACTATTTTGCAACCTGATGTGAAAGTATGAGGTAATTGAAGTTAGAAGATCTTATTTAAGGCCTGGAGAGATGGCTCAGTGGTTAAGAGCACTGTCTGCTCTTCCAGAGGACCCAAGTTAGGTTAGTTTCTCAGCAACTCACATAACTCCTCCCCTGGCCACCACAGGTAGCAGACTGCTCATGGTGCACATATATGCAAGCAAGCAAGCAAGCAAGCAAGCAAGCAAAATACTTAAAACACAGGAAGTAAAAGTAAATTTGGGAGGAGGGGTTGGCTTTTCATGACAGGGTTTCTCTGTGTAACACACATAGCTGTCTGGAACTAACTCTTTTTATAGACCAGACTGACCTTGAACTCACAGAGTGCTGGGATCAAAGGCAAGAGTGACCACCACCTGACTCTTGCTTTATTTTCTGTATTAATAAAAAGAAGCTGGTTTGATTATATATTCCTATAATCCCAGTGTACCAGAGGCTGAGGCAGATTTATTGTGGGTTAGCCTAGATTGGGCTTCATATAACAAGATTCTGTTAAATAAGTAAAGATAAGTAAAAAGAACAAAATAGTCTTGGCTTTTCTGCCCTGGGGAGATTCGAGAACAATGTCACCTGCGGTTACTGAGCTATTATTTTCTCATCATCTAAAAGGCATTGACTGTACTTAAACAGATTTTGGTTCTCTTAAAAACAACTGATGAGAAGTTCTAGAAATGTTTTTCCATTTTTCATTCAAGTATTCATGTGAACTTCTCTTTTCCCCTTGCAGTGGTGCAGAATGGCGGACCTCAGTCTTGTAGATGCATTGACAGAGCCACCTCCAGAGATTGAGGGAGAGATAAAGCGAGACTTCATTGCCACACTGGAGGCGGAGCCCTATGATGACACTGTGGGAGAAACTGTGGAGAAGACTGAGTATATTCCTCTTATGGATGGTGACGAGAAAGCTGGGAACCCAGAGTCCAAAAAGAAACCATGCTCAGACACTAGCCAGGTTGAAGGTAAGCGTTCAAGCTGAAAGGGACACACGTGTTTATAATGCAGATTGGAGGTCAGGACTTGTCTGTCACCACCGAGGTTTTGGTGTAGGCTAGTCAGTCGCTTGAAGGTTTTGTTGCAAATCAAGGACACCTTGTCCTTCAGTCAAATCAGTGTTACTGAAACTTTTTTTGTCTTTTGTTTTGGTGGTGTTGGGGTTTCTTGACAGGGTTTTTGTATTGCTAGCTGTCCTGGAACTCACTCTGTTTGGCCTCAAACTCAGAGATCCGTCTGCCTCTGCCTCCCAAGTACTGGGATGAAAGGCCTGAGCCACCACTACCCAGCTGGCTGAGGAATTTTGTGCTTGTATTTAACAGGGGTATTGTTCATTAGTTGTCTAGTAATTTATATGTATATTTGGTTGGTTGTTTGGTATTTTGAGACAGAACCTCACACTATAGCACAGGCTGCCTTGGAAATCACTGTCTAGTTCATTTTGACTTTGAACTCATGGTAGTCTTCAGCTTTGATGTGAGTTAACCAACTATCAACGTGCTCACACTTACAGTGTATGTATGGTCTTGTTTATTTATTGTATGGCTTTATTTGTATGTATTGTATGTATTTATTTATTGGCTTATTTGTTTATTTTCAAAACAGGGTTTCTCTGTGTAGCTTTGGAACCTGTCTTGGAACTTGCTGTGTATACCAGACTGACCTCGAACTTACAGAGACCTGCCTGCTTCTGCCTCCCTAGCGCTGGAATTAAAGGCATGTGCCACTACTGCCTGGCTTATCTGGTTTCAGAATCGAAATCATGCAGAGTTCAAAAATTAATCTGAGGGCTGGAGGGATGGCTCAGAGGTTAAGAGAACTGACTGCTGTTCCGGAGCTCCTGAGTTCAATTCCCAGCAACCACATGTGGCTCACACCCATCTATAATGAGATCTGTTGCCCAGAACACTATATACATAATAAATAAACTTAAAAAAATTAATTTGATAGAATTTGGGAGGTAGAGTCATTCTGTGAGGTCAAAGCCAGCCTGGTCAGCTGAGTGTTCCAGGACAGCTAAGGCTATACAGAGAAACCTTGCAAAACAAAACAAACTAACAAAAAATACCACATAAGTGGGGAAGCATTTATCTTCTAGAATAGTTACATAAAATTAATATTTTGTTGTTTGATTGAAATTGATCTATCTGTGCATAGTTTTTAGTTTGTTTTTTTTTTTTTTGAGACAGGGTTCCTCTGTGGCTTTGGAGTCTGTCCTGGAACTAGCTCTTGTAGACCAGGCTGGTCTCGAACTCACAGAGATCCGCCTGCCTCTGCCTCCCAAGTGCTGGAATTAAAGGCGTGCGCCACCACCGCCTGACTCTAGTTCTTAGTTTTTAAACTAGGGATTAAATTTCTTTATGAGCCAATAGAGAAATGGGGATGTAGCTTGCTCAACAGTAGTATATGTTTATACTATATGTAGGGTGAGGTTTGAACCCTAGAACTTGGGAGGTGAAGATAGGATCAGAACTACAGGATTTATTCTTACTAGATTCCAAGACTGAACTACGTGTAACTGTTTAAAAGAGAGGGACGAGGGCTGCAGAGATGGCTCACAGGTTAAGAACATTGGCTGTTCTTCCAGAGGTTCTGAGTTCAATTCCCAGCAACCTCATGGTGGCTCACAACCATCTGTAATGAGATATGGTGCCTTTTTCTAGCATCCAAGCATACACGCAGGCAGAATATTGTATACATAATAAAAAGATTTACTTAAAGGGGGAGGGAGGAGAGAGAAGATGTATCTTTCATTTGAGGTAGGGGTGTGTGTGGTGTAGTGTAGTGTGTGTGTAGGCCAGGGGACAATGTTGAATGTTTTTGTTTCTCCGGCACCTTTGTACATTCCATGTAGAAATCAGAGGACAATTTTACAAGGACCAGTTTTTTCCCTTCATCTTGAGGATCCTGAAGCTTGAACTCAGGTTATCAAGTTTGTGGCAAATGCTTTTCTCCCTCGACGAGGTTCTTCACTGCCTTGAAGCTCACCAAATAGACTAAACTGGAAAGCCTGAGAAATTTGCCTTTTTGTATCCACCTCTCAGCACTGGTTTACAAGCTTAAACCAGTAGATCTGCTATTTTACTTTTGTTCTGGGTGTCTAACTCAGGTCCTTGCTTGCAGGTCGAGCATATTACCAGCTGAGATGTTTCCCAGACTTCAAGCTCTCAGCTATCTTTTTCATGCTGTGGAAATGGGAGTGACATTGCTTTTGACTTTCTATAACCAAAGTGGAAAACCTAGTGGCTTTGTTTATACTTTATGGAGAGACACACACTGCATCAGGTGAAGAATATAAGAGTATAAGATCTTATCATTTGCACAATTATTTGCTCCAAGGGAAAAAAAATTGAATTTCTTAACGGAGAATCGTTCACAATGGTCCTTTGACTGACTCACATGAAAATAAAGGAAATTCAATAGGAAGGAAGGAAATGGTAAGGCTTAGTCATTGTAGTAGGTAATGGTAGCTAAGATGCTCTCCCACCCCAGTAACTTGATGCTCATCAGAGTTTGGATGAAGAAGGTTGCTTCTTTTTTGTGTTCTGTTTTCTTATAGTTGTTTTATGCCTCTACAGTCTGGGACTAATCTAGACGGGTAAGGACAGGGAAGTAGTAGAAATAGTTTTTCTTGTGCTTTCTCTCTTTTGAGAGTGGGGGTGCTGGCTGGCCTACAACTCAAAAAGCTCCTGTTTCTGCCTCTCGAATACTGGTATTAAAAGCATGTGTGCCATGATACCTGACTGTACCTCATCTAGAGTGATGGTGCACACCCTTTAATCTCGGCATTCAGAAGGCAGAAGCAAGTGTATCTCTCTGAGTTTAAGACCAACCTGGCCTACAGAGTTTCAGTACTGCCAGGGCTACACGTAGAACCCCTGTTTCAGGAAAGAAGCTATCAAACAAATTATTGATGTGTGTGTGTGTGTGTGTGTGTGTGTGTGTGTGTCTGTCTGTCTGTGGGGGTGACTTTGAGTATGTTGTGTTACTTCTGAAGGAGAGGAGGATGTCCTGTTTCCTGGAGCTGGAGTTATAGGCAGTTGTAAGCTGCCCTTCATGTGTTGGTCCTCTTTTAGAGCAATAAGTGCTCTTAACTTCCAAGCTATCTCTTTTGCAGTTTTTAAGACACAATGGAAGAGCTCTAAAGGTTTTAATTTATTGTTACTTTTGTTCTATGAGATAAGGCCTTAAGATGTAACCTGTGCTACCCTGAAATTCTTTTTTTTAAATATTTATTTATTATGTATACAATAGTCTGTCTGCATGTATGCCTGAAGGCCAGAAGAGGGCACCAGACCTCATTACAGATGGTTGTGAGCCACCATGTGGTTGCTGGGAATTGAACTCAGGACCTTTGGAAGAGCAGGCAATGCTCTTAACCTCTGAGCCATCTCTCCAGCCCTGAAATTCCTGATTTTTCTCCTGCCCTTAAGGCATAGTGTATTTCATTATTTTTGTGTTTTTTTTATATATATCTGTTTGTGTGCCCAAACCTGAAGTACATACCTAATTTTTTTGTTTTTGGAATAGCTTGGTAGTCTCTTACTTGTTTGGTTTTGTGTTGCATCTAGATAGAGGAGGAACAGCTGAACAAGCTACATATAATAGAGCTCTTTAGACAATAGTTTTTATTTCCTTTTTTTATATGGCTTTCCTAAAGGCCTTCAACTACAAGTGAAGGGTGATCTTTCACTATGGTCCAAACCTAGCATTTGGGAGAAGTCTAGGATAGTGCTCCTCAAGGGTGGGCCTTAGAACTCCATTTCAGATCAAGCTCAGGGGTTGAGGCTTAGATGTGTTTTAACAGGTCCTCCTAGGTTAGAAGATATTATAAGTCAGTACGGAAGGGGTGGTCACTAGCTTAGACTGCAGAGGATTTTATTCATGGGACTTGGCCTTAATGAAATAGTGCAGTTTGCCAAAATTTGCCACAAGAGGGTGATGTTGGCAAGAGTCTGGCCATGCAGATTGCAAAGCCTTGTGTTGAGCCTGTGCTCATTCTTCCCTGTTTGGCCCAAAGCTTACTCTCCTCATGGCTCTTTTTCTCTCAGCTCTTTACCCTCCTTCTTTTCAAGGTTTACCCCTCTTGTGGGAGATGAAACCTGTTATGCAGAGTGATTTTTTTTTAAAAGGCAACTTTGGATTTCTATTCCTTTAAGAAGAATATGATTAATTTTTAGCTAGGCATGATGGTGCATGGCTTTAATTCCAGCACTGGAGAGGCACAGGAGGCAAAGTCTGTCTTAAAATATGACACTGTCACTTAACCAGATTGTACATTTATTATTTAAGATTTATCTTTATGTGCTTATTTTTATTTCATGTGTTTGAGTGTTTTGCCTTCATGCATGGCTGTGTACCATGTGTATCGGTGCCTGTGGAAGTTAGAAGAGGATTTTGGATCCTCTGGGAGCCTTAGTGTGGGTGCTGTACTCTAAGCTTAGATTTTTCTCCCAGAGCAGTACACACTCCTAAGTGCTGAACCATCTATAGCTCCTTAATCAATATTTTTATTGTTGTTTTCTTTGTTTAATAAGACAGAATTTCTCTGTGTAGCCCTGGCTGTCCTGGAACTGGTACTGTAGACCAGGCTGGGCCTTTTGAACTAAGAGATCCACCTGCCTCTGCCTTCCAAGTGCTGGGATTAAAAGGATTAAAAGTATGTACCATCACTGCCCTGTAATTTTAAGTAATTTTAAAGAAATTCAAGAAAGGCATTTATTTGGGGTAAGGGAACATACGCACATAGCAGATGTAACAGAGAAAGACCCTCTACAAAGCTCTTTGGAGGACTGGAAAAGCCAAAAGTCTAGTCTTTTTTGGAAGGCTGGAGGTTTTAAAACTTCTAAAGAATTTTCTTCCCATAACGTAGGCAGTTGGTCAGTTTGAAGAAAGCTAGCATGGTTGATTAGCCCAGAACTGTTGTGTGACATGTCTTGGGTAGACCTTGGACTTGTAAAGCCAGCCT